TCGGGTTCCCTAAGCCTTTTTATTATTATTAAAAGTCAAAGGTCTTGGTAAACCTGAAAGATTTCATATATTTTTAAAAATTGTATTCTACATTTTATAAATCGTAAAACATCGCTATTATCAATTGCCAATTTTCTTTTCAACTTCGATTTTCAATTAAGCACACCTGAACCAGAAGAGATGGTTCTTTTCTTTTGAAAATAAAAGGGTGTATAAAATAATTAACCATTTTTCAACCAAATATTTGAATTATTGTTTCTTTGATATAAAACACAATTAATACTCTAAGTATAGTATATTGTTATCTACTATCTACCTTCATAGCCATCTGCTAGACAATTGATCGCTGATACCATTCTGTGATTGTAATTTCAACTTCCGCAAAATTACCAATTTCTTTCCCTTGAAGAAACTGGGCCATGGGTTTAAATAAGTAGTAATTCGATGGTCAGGCAGGAGTCTCATATCAGAAGGGTTTTCAATAAATGTTCACAAATTACTAACCTCTTACCTGATAGCTGAGGAGTAAGTTCGTGAAGGACCAGTCTACTGTTCTTTTTTACCTTGTCCATGGAGAATAGATGACGACTAACAGAATCTTTTGACACAATACACTCCCTGGCGAGTACTCGCTCACAGCTTCCTGCAGAAACTCGTCAATATTCATCACCAGCGCATCCAGGATTTCATTTTGATGGGTGCTTCAGCCCGAAAGGTTTTTTTTTTTTTAATATAAAGAAAAATTACTTTGGAAGAAAAAGAAAGTCAGATCGGATCGGATGGGATTAAACAAGCTTAGAAAATGCTCTAAAGGGATTATTAAGTATTAGTAAGAATTAAAATATTTACAGTCCTTTAAAAACTTGAGTTTGATAAAACGGTCATACACTATACCATCTATAACTCAAAGTTGGAATATTTTTTAGAGTTGTTCCCTCCTATTAAATTCTGTCCAATTGATATTAATTTAATTAATAAAATTTAATATTTCTTCTTCCGTGGCATTACAATTCTTCGAGGGTCAACGCCTCTTGCGATTTGGTCTGCCATTCATTTATGTTGGAAGGTACTGCCATCCAGTAATATTAATAGGATGCATTTATCTTATATCTTTATATAAAATGATATTTCGTATTTTTTTTCATAAGACATGGTAATATAGCAGAATCTTTGGACAGGTCTCCCCCATCGCAAATGGGATTTTTCCACTTTACTGGTGGCACAGATTTTGTTATCCATGATCCTCCAAGGTATCATCTGGTTTGATATCGCTATAAGGCAGTCCACCAATCTTGCCTAATAATTATTATTACCATATTTAAGGGTTCTTATATAATAATTCCAATTTATTGAAATAGGTATTTATTTACCTCATGGTGAAATGATAAGGAATCTGTTCTGAACTAATTGGTGGATTTCATACTGGTTCATCAGGATTACCAGGACAACATCACTAGCGGATCCGGACGGGGGGCGCGACCTCCCTCTCACTTTCCCTGGGAGGTGGCAAAAAATTTTTAAAACAACTATTTAAAGAAAAGAAAAATATAGGGAAAACTCATCCTCTAAGACGAATTTCCTAATGTGATATAAAAAAATTATTATCGTGCCCAGTACTAGGAATCCAGCCGGGAGGAGGGGAGTGGGAAGGGGGGAGAGCTCCTCTCTCTCCCTTGGATAGTGGAAAAAAAGGTTCCGAAAAAAGTAAGAAAAAGTAGCTGTTTAATGAAAAGAGAAATAAAGGGAAAATTCATCCTTATAGGCGAATTTTCTAATGTAATATAAAAAAAAAAAAATTATTGTTGTGACCAGTAATAGCGAATAACATCAGGGGGCGCCTCCCCCCTCTTTGGATGTTGGACAAAAATTCCAAAAAGCAGTTATTTAAAGAAAAGATAAATATAGAATTCATCTCCAATCAAAAATTTTCTAATGTGATATTAAAAAAAGTTATTATCATGACCATTTTTATTAATCTTACGGTTTGTCATATCACGTTACTTCACCACCCTGTGGATCAACTTGCGCTCATCCTTTAAGGCACTGTGAGATTTTGTGAAACAAAGAATTGAATGTAAGAATAAAAGTTGGCTCGCAGGGTGAAGTGATGCAGTTTTGGGGCCGCCGCACAATGGGACCGGTAAAGGAAAACTCGTGACATTGGCTAAACCTTTTTTTTCAAATTGAATTATTCAATAAAAATAGTGAAAAATGTATATTCTGCCAACTAAAACTATTCTCATAAATTCCAGAGGATATCAATAAAACAGTTTATCTAGTTTCTGAAGCTCTAAAAAAGAAATAAAATTGGTCACGATAATAATTTGTATGATTCTCATTAGAAAGTGTTTTTTATTTTCTTAAAATAGCTGCTATTGGGAACTTTTTCATGAAGGAAGGTACTAATTATTAGGTCTCCGATATGATCGGGATCAAAATCGTTATTTATTCTCAGTTTTTTTCTCTTAGAGAGCTCATTTCCAAGCTGCAGAACCATTTATGGTAATCTGTTTCAGTTTTTGACAAATTTGGTAAACATTATCGCTGGTTGAAAGTGGTTATCGATCATATCACTTAATCGCACTATTAAGTTTAGGTACTTGTTCGACGCACAATTTAACGTTCTTTAATTTGTTAAAGAATGTGCTTTTCCCTTCGATGCTCTGTTTAGTAGTAATAGATGAAAAAAAAAGGGGCTTTTTGCCAGTACAATTTTCCTTGGTGATCCGTGATAGCAATTTTGTTTTTTACATGCGTAAGCCCTTAGACAGGGTGTCCCGTAAGTAGAGGGAGGATATTTATAGGAGTGATAGCAGAACTCAAGAGATGCAAAAAAGTTTATATAAATAATAGTTCAATTTTCAGAAGGAAAATAGGAAATTAAAGTTTTGTGGTTTTTTAAGTGTCACTTTTTTTAATAGTATGGAAATGATAACTAAAAAACTATTTAATTTAAGTAATTAACTATTGCTTAACCGTAAACTAGACAAATTTCACTTTAAATAAAAATTGAGTTTGCTATTCTTAAAACCATTTAAAGTGGACTCTGGAGCAGCTAAACTCAACCAAGGAGTGGGGGGAGATGAGTAGTGGTCGGGGAACGGGTAGAGGTGGGAGAGGCACCTGGTACAGAGGTGCGCCTCCTCACTGAGAAAATTCCTGGATCCGCCACTGGCCAGCATTACTAGAGGGCGAATGGAGCGACTGCTCCAGGTGCCAAGGCCTAAGGGACGCTGACTCAGCGATAAAATATCAATAAATAAATAAATGGAAATACAAATGTCAATGAGTGGCATGTAAAAAATGAACTATCATCATTATAACAAGGGGGCGCCAAAATTAGACTCCTAATTTTCTCAATCCTAAAATTTTCTTTGGGAAGGTACTGGATTCAGTTAATGTAATATAAATGTTTTAATTTCTTTTATTTGTAATTTTATTTTATTCCATTTTTGTAATTATTGTTTTAATCATAACTAATATTATGTTTTATTTATTTTTTTAATTGTTTTGTAAAATTATGATGCCCTATTTCAATTTTTTTTTAAATAATTTAATTTTAATATGCTTTTAGATATAAATAATACCACTCAAACGGAGAAAAAGGAAAAGGACACAACTTTAGAAGATAACAGAATCGCCTGAATCTTCATTTTAAACCATTATGAATTTCATTTGTTTTGTTGATAATAAAACTGTTCATTTTTACTATAGTATATTATAATTTTATTTAAGTTGAAATTTGTATATGAACTAGAAGCAAAATATTAGAATTAGTAACCATCAGCAAAGGCCCAGACTCACCATTCTGGTCCGGGGAGGCGGCAGTCGTCCATCCCCCCAAAAAAATTTTAGGATTTTATATTATGTATAAAAATTATGAGTGATAATTATTGTAAAACAAACAAATAATACCATACATAAAATAAATGTTTATATACTAGATTTTGTTTTTTTATGTACAAATTCTTTTATTTAAAGGCTTGAGGCAGTGAGATGAACTCTGAATTCTCCAATACCTCAACTTTTTCACTGGAGATGCGATAATATCTTTACCTAAATATGAAAGGGTGCACATGAAAAAATCATAAAATCCTAGAATATGTTGCATACTTATGGGGTAGCCCCCCAAAGCCCCCACCTATGACCATCAGAATCTTGAATTATAGTACATCGAATTCTGCCATGACTCCAAGTGATTATAATAGACATAGACCAAAGGTTGTTTGGTGTTAATTGAGCAATAAGAATTATGGTTAATAATTCTTTTACTTCAAATGTGAATTTGCAGCTATAATCAAACTGTTGACAGCCATCAAATAGTCTGACACTTTAGGGAATAACGACAATAAGGTATCCAGATTTATTTCAGTTACCTTAGCTAGTTAATGAAAATCTCTCATCCAGCGCCCGTTTAGAATCTTCTAGTAGCAGGTTCAAAAGTTAATTTTGAGGGACTAACCTCTTTTTAAACGGTAATCACAAGAAAAATTGAAATCTCTCATGTAATAAAGGATATTTCAGTAAGTTCCCAGATATTGAGAGGTTGGACTTGAGTATTGGTGAACATTGTGCAGTTTCTTAAACTTTTTTGTAAATATTTACACTATCTATTACAGTTCATTTTCACTTTAAATAGAAACGCAGTTTAAAGCATACCAGTTGATTAATTAATAACTTTTGGTCTTCTTTCTAATTTGAGGAGGCCTGCTGCATGTTGTGTGATAGCGATAGTCATATAAGTACAGTAGTACTTCCATGAGTTGTGTTGTTGGGGTGGTCTATAATGTATATCACAAAGTCAGAAATGCGAAACTTAGGTCATGGTTGAAACTGTGTTAGTCCATATGATGAATTCAATAATTGAAAGTTGATAGCACAGTTCCACATAACACTTACTATTTATGGTTAAGTTAATATGTTGTGCTTATGAGTGAAATGGGATGGAATATGTAATTTACAAGAACAAAACGGAGGTAAACTAAAAATCAAACAAACTATATCATAAATACAATATATATTATTGACAGAAAATCATGAACATAATTTCAATATAATTTTTGTTACATATTTTTTTCTGTAATTCTACAGAGACAATTAGGAAGTTTTACATCATATGATAATTATTTTCCTTTTACCATTTCTGTACAAAAATAAGCATATAATTTCAAGAAATAATACTAATTTCTTATTTATTTAATAAAACTCATTGCCTGTTATTACATTTTTTTGAGAATACCAGACAGTGAAGCAGGATTATATCCCTTAAAATGGATTTTTTTTTATTCACAAACAAAAATTAAATCGAGACATTTCACAGGGCAAGTACCTTTCTTTAAAATATCAAATATTATTAACATCAATTTACATTACATAAAAGTATTATGTTTATTTACATAGTGAATATAAAGTAAGTAAAGAATGTACAGACAAAAATACAAAGTAGAATATACCTGAGTTGATTTCTAAGCCGTTAAACGACCAGTTGCAGTTAGAAACTGGCTTAAAATTTTATATATTAGAAAAAATCTGCAATTATAATTATTAATATTAAAAACTCAAGGAAAAATTTACATTGAAAAGGATAAAGAAGAAATGCCTTTAGGCAGTACTAAGGGTGTGGAGGTGAGGAGAAAATAAATATTGAATAAACCCAACTATATACACTACAACACCACGACTATAGAACACAATTAAAACAAAAGAAAGTCAGCCCCCTAGAGGGTACATATAATATTCACTATGAGGTAGATAAAGAGAATGGGAATCTTATTCCCAATGTCTGCATTGTACTATGTGGCTACCGAGCCAAACAGCCGATATTAAATTAAAAATAACTTAAAAATTATAGAATAGGAGCTAGTGTGATGTTTTAGACTACCCAGCATATTCACAATAATTCCAATCAAGCAATTCAATTTCATAAATCTATTTTACTTAAATATAAAATTACTATCAGTTAATAATGATGAGGATGTTGGTCAAGTTGATATAAAATTTACAAATCGTAATTCAACAAAAATTATTTCATGAATGGGAATAGCAAAATAAGTAACAAAAAAAGTTAAAAAATGTTGTTTTTACGGATTTATATATATGAAACTTGAATTAAAATAATATTTAACAAATAAATTTAAAAATTAAATGTTCAATTAGAGTACGTGCAAATTGAGACACTTGTGGAACGAAGAGACTAGAACCCATAGCATAAATGAAGCATGTAGAAGTCAATTGAGAATTGATAAAATAAATGCTGAACATTCCACAAGCTTAGATATGCTCAGACCGGAATTTTATAGGATATTTTTGCTATTGCAAAAAATTATAGTTGTTATTTAAATTAAGAAATTTTAATATAAGTGTTTGAGGAGTAAATCAAGTTTAAAACAAAAAATTGTTTTTATTTATATCCGATGGTTTTGAGCTCATGCAAATATACTTCTGCCCACACTTCTTTATATACTTGGTAAATTGAATACTGAAAAAAAGGTATATTGTATTTATATATATAATTTTTGTTCTAATTGATTTTCAAATACAAAAAAAATATATGTAGATGCTGTACTTTGTTTCAGGCTCAAAGCAAATTTTATTTAAATTTCTTTATTTGCTTGCCATTTTAACCTATTGTTTATTAAATTATAGTAATTTTCGAAAAGAATTGGAAAATATCACAATAAAAATTCAGACCTTATTTATGTTTAAAAAAAAAATTACTTTCACGTAGTATTAAATAGAGAAAGTCATAGATAATGTAATATCCAAGTCCCTGACAAAACTGCCTCCATTAATTTTTCTTTATAAGGATCAAAATTAAAATATTATTATTAATTCACAGTATTATTTATTATAAAAAAAACTTTTATGTGATAAATGATATTTTTTTTTAAATATCAGAAAAATCACCATTAGAGCTCTTATGATATATGATAACAAAAAAAATGGATCTTGCCTCTCTTGAAAAAGGTAAAATAAAATTTATTCTTTAAGTTTCTGAATAGGTGCCTACTTCAATTAATTTCAATGCTATTAACTATGGCTGTCAAATTGATCAACACTCTCATCTTAGACATAAACTAATAGGTAACTTTATAAATAAATACACACGTATATATATATAAAAGATATAACTATGGAATACCTTATTTAATCTATCAAGAAAAGGCACAATTTTTTTTTTTTTTTAATGTTTAAATTTTCATCTGCGGGGTATTCTTAGTTTATGTATACTGATTATCTATACACTAATCTTTGCTGTATTTTAAAGGCCTTGTAATTCGTGTAAACCTTTTTATTATAAATAACGAACAATTATGTTCAAAATTCAAGAGTTTTATTCATATTAAATAAATAAGACTGAAGTTAAATGGAAGCGAATATATATATTTTATATTTTAAATTTTACTTTAAACTATGCTGTTAAAACATCTAATATTAAAGTGCTAGTTAATATCTAAATATAAGATATCATACATTCCTACAAACTTGCACGCTAACAATCATAACTCACATCACACAAGTCCACAACCTTACAACTAAAAGTCCGACCGATCCACCCATCAACCCATTTACATACGAAAGGGATCTCGTAAAGTTAATAATACCAGACACATAACTTCAAGTTAAATTACAAAATGAGCAAATTGCATTCACTAAATATAAAGATAGGACATATATATATATATGTATATTTTTGTTTATTAATATATATTTATTAACAATATAAAATTGGTTTAAGGCAATTTGTGCAAGCAGTCACTAGCATATGTCTCTTTTCCTAATATCTGTAGGACTATCGATAATTTGACCGACCAAAACGTATTTCAACTTCACCATAGTTATTATATTAATGTATTTATTTGAAATGAACACATTTTTTTTTTCTCGAATTGAACAACATTAGAAAGTACGTGAAGAAATGCATGTTTATAACACTACAGTGCTTAAGTTCAATGATAAAGCAAGCAATGAGCAATTGAGAATATCTTTAGTAAAGAAAGGCGCTGCACTTTGTGTTGGCACTCAGATGTGGGCTAACACTACCAACAGTCTGAACCAAACACAACTAGCTACAAAAATGAGAACAGTTCCACAATTACGTATAAGTATACATGACCCCTTAAATATAATCTCAACTACATCGTTATACATTTATTAAATGAATGAAATAAGTAGTGGTGAATAAATTTGTGCATGTTAATAAAACCTTGTGCTAAGGCAAATTTGGGGCTAGGCTGTTATAACAACATAAAAAATTATCAAAATGATCACGCTAAAAATATCGTAAACTCTTTAATTTTTAGCTAATTTAAAAAAGTATGTATTAGTGTATTGACAATCCCTGAAAATCACTAGGCCGTGTTTTAGTAAGAAACTTATTCTTTTTCCGAGCTCAGGATGAATAGGAAGCACCTTTTCAAAGGAATTCCACTTTTTACAAGCCTTAAAAGTAAATTATTCAATTTTTTAAAAATTATTCTCCAATTTTTATGAAAAGAATATATTTTTAACATTTCATTATATATACTTTTTTTTCTTAACACAAGGTTATAACTATAAAGCTTACTATACAATCTATTAAATTATTTACAAATACAATTACAATGGGTGAACCGTTCAGACATCCCTGAGTAATTCGCTTGACAACGAATGGTTGAGGTAGCTTAAAAGAGACATCGCAGTACAACGATGTTTCTTAAAAAATATTGGGATTCTGACAATAATTTGTCTTTACACTAAAAACTAAATACCTATGCTAGGATAATCTAAAATCCCATTTTAACAGGTTCAGAATAATGTAGATGCACAAAAATCACACGTAAAAATATATATATATATATATCCACAACCAGATTTGCAACTAGGTACAATGGGGGTTACATAATCTTTAAAAATATGTATTATATTTGTACAATATATATATTCTTTCTTCTTTAAACAAAAATTAAAAATCTCTTAAAAATTTAGTCAAAAATGTAGTTTACGTATATTATGTTAGTAACTAGAAAAAAATAAGTTAAGGCGAGATTCGTAGAGTATAACAGAAAGTTTCATTATCATTTAGCCTCTAACTTTTCGTGGTGAATTAAAATAATAAATAAATCAAAGCTAAGAAAAAGCTTAAGACATGGTAAATAGCTAAGAGGTAGATGAGGAAATAAACTTTGTATTTACTAGTCAAAAGAGGAAATGTCACCTGATCACAGTTCATCGAGGTCTGACAAGCAGTGGAGGTAACAAACAGAGTCAGATTGAGGTATTCAAAAAGGAATGGTTCATTCATATTATTCAGAAAACAAGTTTAAAATTGAGCAAAAGACTTGGAAATTTTTTTTAAAAAAATTAACTAGGTATGTAAATGTTTTACAATTAAAATTGAAAAAATAAAATAAAAAAGTACTAAAGAAGATAAATTTGGACGGACTAACTAAATAAAAAGCGAAAAAAAAGACCGAAAAAATTTCAGTTTTAGGCAAATAATTTGGCTAGTTGAATTAATAAATCAAATATATAAGGAGGAGAAAAATCACACACCATTCACTTATTTAGAAAATAAAACAAATGGATATCATAAGCTCTACTCCAAATGAAATCAGTTGGTCCTGAAATTAACATAAATAATCCAAAACCAAAAACTAAGCAATAATAATTTTCATTTGCAAAAACTGCATGAATTTCCAGTACCAATCAGAAACAGAATAATCTTACAGCATCGTTATTTATTTAAACAAAATTTCATGAAGGGTTAGTTTAATCATAAATTTTAATTATTAGAGTTGACGTTCTATTTTATTTTGAATTGATAAATACTCTGTGTCTAATGTTTAAAAAAATAACAAGTGATGATAAATTAAAAACGAATCAACAAAACAATTAAAGCAACTAAAATAAAAAAATAATAACCTACTTTATAAATAGGTTAACACAAAATTTGTAAAAGCCATGAAAGTAAACACAGTGAAGCCCTATTTTTAAATATTACCATCAGCAAAAAAATAATATTTTTTTAATAACAAAAAGGTTCTTTTAAACATGAATTTTAAGTACAAAAGTGCTTTCTTATTGAGTTAAGATAGGAACTACATGCAACGTTCAATTCATCAATATCAGTTTCAAGTAATATTTTTTAATTATTAAAATATTTTTCAAAATAACTTAAAATTAATTAGCACAAATATATAAATGGAGTAAAACTATTTAAATTATACTGATGTTTAGAAATATTTATAGGTTTGTTGAGATTTTTATGAGTAAAATTATAGTTATTCTTTGAATATACTTAATTAAATAGAGAATGAAAATACATACTAGCTGTCAAGGCAAGATTATTTTTTTCTCATGAATCTTGACTTGAAATGGGTGAGTGACTTGAGAAAATATGTATATATATATATATATATATATATAAAGTAGAACAGTTAAATACAAACTTAGAATGGAACTATTAGAATTTATAAAACATAATATATACTTAATTCTTTGTTGCAAAATAATAACTAAATAAAGATTTAAAAACCATTTTAAGATTGGAATATAAAAATAAAATAAAATGCAAATAGTGTACAAATGCATAAATTATCAGAAATACAAAGATATCCCGAACAGTGTTTAGTAAGGATTTCACCATCCACTAATAATTGACAGCAGCATGTACCTTCAAATCCCATTTGTTCGGTAGATAGTTATTAATAATGTATGAGTGAATATAATAACTTTTTAATTTATTTTTCTCCCTACAGGCCAATTTTTTTCATACAGGTTAGTAACAATTTATTAATTAGTAAATAAAGAATCGGTAATTAGAGCAGAACATTAACAAATTGAGTTAACCATGCAAAACCTCCATGTCTTAAAAATTATTTTTTAGGTTTTTCATTACCCACCAGAACAGTTAGTGACTGATGCATGATTCTCAATACCTTGGACCATAAAAAAATAAAACAACAACTTTAAATAAAGAATAGTAGAACAATAGAAAAGAACTGTATTAGAAGTCAAGGAGTAAATTTTTGGCTGATTTAAATGAAATTAGAATACATCCTAATTTTAATTAATTAATGTCATTCAGGAAATTTTAAATTTCATTTGACAATACAAGAGTTATGCAATTCAAGTTCAAAAATAATTGATCCATGGACATTGCAAATAAGCAAGGATTAAAAAAAAAAAAAATAATATATATGTTAATAATAAAATTCAGAACTGATCAATAAATAAGAGTATGTTGACATAATAAATCTCAAATACCTTATTCAACAATTGTTATTAAAAAATAAACAAGCCAATTAATGTAAAACTCAACTAAGCAACATAAAATTCCTGTATCATATATCTACCCAATGCCTTGATATGAATCAAAACTATCCAAACAATAGAAAAAAAAAAAGAAAGTAAAAAATTTTAGAACTCTAGAGGCAATAAAATTTGTCTTAATTTGAAATTGATTTTTTTATACTGTACAGCACAGAATGTATTCTGTAATAGTAAACCTTTTCTACAACGTCCGCAACAAAAATAAACCACATGCTGAAACTACTGGACTCTTCACTGATTAGTTAATTATTTTAGAGCCACATCTCTGAAAACTTATTATACTAAACAAAAATATAATAAAATATCAATTTTGTTGTAATATATTGATTCTCTATATTAAGTCGAATACAAAAACAATATCCAAAATATAAAGATAATCATCTGTTTATATGGTGTAGTACTTGTTTTGAGTTTGCAAATCTAATGTACAATATACAGTGTTTCAGTTTAATTTTCATTTTTATATAATGTTATAAATGTAAATTCAGAACATTTTCAATAACTAGCACTTACAAGCAATTGAAGAAACTTTTATGTTATAATATATAACCTTTAAAGAAGCATATTTCAAATATAGAATGAAGACCTTGACAAACTCAGGTCTTATTTCTGAACTTTGCAGATTTGCCCAAAATGTATTACCTACATTAATACCGATAAAAAGTAGAATAATATAACTTGAAAGAACAACAGTAGAACAAGAATGAATGTTATTATTATTTTAAAAGTTAATTCTTATTTTGTTTATTTTTTTAAAAAAGAAAAATCCCAAAAGGGGTGAGGTAAATTTGACCAATATAAGCCTTTCCCCTGGTTAAAATAAAGTATTATAGTTAATAATATCCAAACAATAAGTCCTCTCGAATTTATTCATATAAAATGAAAAGAATAAAAGTTCTCATGAAGGAAATTTTATGATTATAGTAGAATACATGGAAAAGGATGATGAGACTTCGAATATTGCTGTTAATGGTTTAATAAAAGCAATCAAATAAGACAATTGATATCCTGAGAAGATTCGACTAATCATCAATAGAGAGATTCATTACAAAAATTAGTATAGCAGTAAGATTATAGAAAACATACAAATAGTTACTATTTATACACTATAATGTTGGTAGCAGTAAATAAATGCTTCTTAGCAATAACATGACTTCTGATGTGGAAAAGGTATGAATAAATTTTCATCACCATCATCACGTTTGGTGATATATTATTACCACGATCATAATGATTATAGATTAAAATTGAAAAATTTCTTACGCTATTATTAATTTCAATTTATTAAAAATTTTATCCCAAAAATATTTACCTTTCGACATTTAAAATTTTGATACATGGAAATAATTATGAGCAACATGCATGAGATTACTAAAATTTTATCAGTAGTTCACAGTATTAAAAGGGCCAAAAAGTTTATCCATCATAATCAGCTACCAATGCTTTTGATATATTTTTGAAATATGCTTCCTCTAATTTTTTTTTATTTTTTATTTTTTTATACAATTACTGAATTTTACATATGTATCTATACTTCAATAAAAAAGAGGAATTGCATTCAGTCTAATATATTGCAGCGTTAAACATTCAGTGAATTGAAATTACAAAAGAGGCTTTATAAATATATACATACATATATTTATATATATGTATATATATTTTGTATTTTTATAATTATTTGTATATATTTATATACATATATACTTAATACTAACATTAATGTGAACACATATTAAAGTAGACCACAAAAATATAAAATAATTGTTTCTATATAACAAAATTAAAAATAAACAGAACTATCTTCCATGGAAAGTATAATCAGGTACAATGAAATATTTTAAGTATATAGTTTACACAGTTGTAGCACAATCTCAATGTAATAAAAATATATATAATAGATCTTCATATATATAAATATATAAAAAAAAAATGAAAACAGAGGAAAACATTACGTCTGAAATAAACATAAAATACAACAACTAATCAACAAATCGTTTATAACTGAATAAATATAAGTCTACATATATTAAACCTACGAAAAACTTGAAGGAAACAATATAATGCCTGAGGTTCATAAACAGGTCTCATAAAAAAAAATTATAAACAAAGAAAAAAAAAATGAAAATTCATATAAAACTTAGGAACCAAATGTTAATGTATGTAAAAATTATTAAAGCAAAAATTGGTGTGCATACTTAACTCCTCATACTGCTTTTGCATCGTATGACTAACAGCTAAGTTATGGAGTGGATAAGGTTGCTCTATACCCGTTATCTCCTAATGAATTTTGTACTGGATTGTGTGCATGGTAGAAAATATTGCTAGAATCTAGCCTAAGCTCCCAAGAGTGGTATCCAGGTTGCTCATCTCAGTCTCATTGAGAAGAGACATTTCTTCCCGCCCATCTCTCCCACTTCCTCCAGGTTGGCACTATAAGTTCATATAAAAATAATTAAATAAAAATGGATAAACATTTATTTTCAGCAAAATTTTATTATTTTAACATAAGTTAGATTATTCTTATATAAATAACTTTTTTTATATATTTAATTTTTTATATATAAAAGTTTCAGAGGAAGGTAGTCTGGAGTACGGTCAACATATAATACTATATATTATAAAAGTATTTTATTACATTATCCAAAATTTCAACCTAAAAAATAGGTCGAAATGTTTGCAAATGCAATAAAATGCTATTATAATATATAGTATTATATACTGATAGCACTCCGGATCAACTTCTTCTTACATTTCTGTTTAACCTGAATCGGTTTGATTATAACATTATAAAGTTAAACTTTAAAAAGTCAACTTTATAAAGTTTGATAACCGTATGGGAGGTTTATATATATTTGAATTTTATGGATTCCTTGCTAAAAGGCATATTACGCAGAAACAGATTCAGGAATTTATTTTATTTTTACTTTTAATAATAGTAATTAGAGGAACAATAATAATTTTAGTGATTAAATTTTTATATTTTTTCTTGATAGGTGCTTAAATTAAGTAATTAGCAGAAGTACATACGTTGTAATTTTTTTTAAAATTTATTTAATGAAATTTACTACATAAAAATACAGCCGTTAAATAGGCACACATTAGAAATAATGACATAAATATATTTGAAGAGATACTACCCAGTGGTAGCCTTCCCTATTTAATTCTAGGTGAGAAGATCACAAGGCCATCTTTTCATAACAAATAATCTAGGAGAATTATCAGGAATCGAGGAAGAAGCAAGGTTGGAAACAAGTGGAATCGGATGGGACTGGAATGTTATAATTTCAAATGCAAAAATTGTGTTTGGCTCAGATCACTCAAAGAAACAAATATGGACGATTGAAAAAAAAATATTTTTTTTTTGAGGGATAGGAATTCACCCCGAAAGCCCTCCTCCCTCTTGAATCCTCTGGTGGTATTACCTGTGCAGTAATATTATAGTGTCTTTGGAAGTGAACATAAGTTACATTATTCTCTTAATATTCTCGAAGATTATGTTTTAGTAATATCTAATTTGTGAATATGTCAATACTGAGTCTATCTTTTTGTGTGACTAAGTTTCACATTGTTATAAGGACCAAAAAAGAAGAAAATACATTTTTTTTTTTAAATTACAGTATATATAAACTGTAATATACTATAATTAAAACAGTTGGGTCAAGGACTGTGACAAATCGATAATATTTAATATGATTCTGTATTAAGGCATACCACTTAGGATCACCATTTCTCTAAACACAGTCAATGTGGCTTCTTTATTTCTTTGGGGCAGATGTTTTTGTAGGGAGGGGTCGTCCATCCATATACTTACCAGGTCCAACTGTCCTTAACTATAAATACTTATTACACATGCCTTGGCCCAGTCCACTTGGTCACCCAGAACCCCTCAATAAGACAATAACTTATATGTTATATATAAGAATATCATCATTTAAATAATATTCATAGTACTTAAAAAACTTATTTTGCAGTTTTATTGTTGATTAAAATATTCTTTAGCTAGCCCGACTACAGATGAGCTTATTCTGTATCAAAATTTGGAAAAAAAAAAATTAAATTTCTATTCAGTAGATAGAAAAAATAAATTAACAAATGAGGAAGTTTAAAACAGCAATGAACAACTGCTACTTAAATCCAAATATCTCTCTATTAAAAAAAATGTTTTTAGTGTCCGATATTTTATTTTAAATATAAAGTGGAATGCTACAACGGATAACACTCTCAGCCATCACGACCACTCAATTATAGTAATGTCGCTAAACAAGATATTTGATTAATGAATATTCTGCAACAGCTTTTAGTCATCAATATCAAATTTCCATCAAGCACATGCAGCAATAAGTAGCACTAATGATGATGTTATCATAAAACCAATTAATTAAAAAAAGATAACACTGTGTAGCAGAAGAATCATTCAAAAAAATCCTGCTCGATACCTTCTTTTATAGAAAAAATGTATTCAATTAGATTCAACATAGCATAATATGAAAGAAGGTGCTCGATAGTTTGAGAAAACCATTCAATAAAAGGCCGATTCAACAACTAATTGAATAATTCTATTCTGTCTTATCCATTCTCATAATTTAATCTTTAAATTTCATTCCATTCTTATAATAATTTTGACAATATTATAATGTCCCAAAACACACTCGAGATAAATTTCTGAGAAAAAAGTATTAAATTGATTGAAAAACTACGACTTCTAATTTGATATGAGATTATTAAGCAAGAATGCTTTTTTTACAAACAAAGCTCTATAATTAAGTTATCACTAATTTAAGTAATAATATAATCGCTCAGAAAAAAATTATATACCTGTGGATTTTCTGTGATGCGGAGGGCGTGGCCATTAACAACTCTACCATTTGGGAACAGCTTCAATCCGTTCACTGGACCATTATGGACCCCTACCTGTCCAAATAATGCATTTAAATGACTGAAATAAATAATAGTATGATTGTAGTACCAAAAATGCTTTTAGTACCGATAAAATGAAAACAAACTAGAGATAAAAATGGAATTAAAAAAAAATTATATATATATGTTATATGCTCAGACCTACCCAGAGCAGGTAAGGAATAAATGTTAAAGTTGTATTAATTTTAGGCATGTTATGACTATTTCAAATCATATTAGATTTTAATTAACAAAAACCGAAATTCAAAATATTTTTAAAAGGTTATTATGAAATACCAATTATTCAGTATAAAATTAAGAAAACATGAACGGGTATAGTTTTGTTTTATTAACTAAACTTAATATGTCCCTTGGCTCCTTACAATTCTATCAATGAACTTTGAAAGGAAATAAATTTTTGTAAGGTATTATGTATATTTATAAAACAGAGCAAGGTCTATAAAAAAGCGAATCAGCCTGGTTGATGGGTTTGGTAGGTTAAAACTTCAATCTTTAACCTTGAACTTATGAGACTGTCAATCTCGAAATGAATAATATTTAATCAGATTTGAAAATTGGTCCTGAATTAAAATTAGAAGTTACCTTCTAATTTCTAGAAGATAAATTGATAAACATTTCATGTGATACAACCTAATAATTTAAAATGAGACCATTTTAATACAGATGAGAAAAAATCCCTTAAATAAGATTTATCAAATGAGATGGAGTAAAGAAATTTAAAAAAAGATGAAAATGGCAGATCTATTGTTTTAGATAGTGATAGAGAACAAAATGATGCCTTGTATCCCCAAATATCAGGTATGCTCCCATCATAAAGTAATAACATCTCATGTACCATTAAAAACATCCAATATTCTCAAATTCAAATACACCACAAAGAGGATCCAATAAAAAAAAATTAAAAGTTTTATGTGACTACTATCAAAGGATCAGTGGATTATTTATCAGACTAGAGCTTGTAGGTTCCTGAGGTCCACAAGGGAGGAGGTCCTGGTATTCTCAAATAATCTTGGCTGCTTATTTATATGATGTGATGACACCGATTCTTCATGAATCCTGGAATCAGTCTTTATCAAGCTTTCATCTCAACTTAGATTGTCCAACTCTTCCTGTTCTGTGGAGAACTTCTTCAAATGATTACTAAAACTCCTCAGTCTTGGTAGAGTTTATTAATTGCATTATGATCATACCAGATAAATTTTATTTTTATTAATAAAAATAACAACAGGTTTGAACAGCTTCATGCAAGATTTTTCCAATCTCCAATGTAGAGTATTACCTTTTTCACTATCATTATAGGTCCATTCTTGAGTTTAAAGCATGGCCTCTGCATGACATCATGAGTGCTACAGTGAGTAAGAAGTTGTATTAGTTTTGGGTATCTTCAAATAAGATGTGAAAGTTAGGGTTGCTACAGACTAAGAAAGTCAGTTTGGGCTGACTTCTTAATTAGCTGCAGCCCCGTTCTTAGTATCCAGAAAGATGAATGAAGTTACGCCATTAACATACTCCATCTATTAGGGACACACAGGCTTAGGTCTCTAAAAGTTAGTGGAACCAGCAGTTTATAGAAAATGTTTTCAAACCTCAATGCCCAGAGGATTCCAATATGATAATGAGGATCCTTAGAGAAGCGATTTCCATCTGGCACTACACTGCAATAGTACAATCAAAATATTTTTTTCATCAACACCTGAAGAACTGCAGTAATGTATTTTCACACAATGACTCCATACAGCCATGAAGAAGCCTATCTCTGAATTCTGGAAAAGTAAACACGTAGACCTTTTTGAAGAAGTTGTATTAAGGACAGAATACAGTCTCTATGAAGAACCACTAATTACTTTACTTCATAAGTGGAAAGAAACACTGCATCAAAAAAGATAAACCAACCATATTTCTACACTCACACCTAGATCTTTTAGTAGTAACCCTTTGAAAAATCTCTAGACAGAAATAGAAAGACCACAGACAACTTACCATACTTGCTCTGATTGAGCATTGAAAAAATAAATTAAGTTCTATTCTGTGGAAGTCAACAAAGGAAGACAAATGAACTAGTTTTGCCACTGTCACATATAATTTTCAAACATATTAATTTAAAAAATATATTATTTGAGGTATGAAAAGAGTATTGAAGAAATGTTAATTTGCTACTGTGTAACATCATTTGCCTACAACACAGAGAGTGGATAACTGAGACTAAAATATATATCAAGTGAAAAGGTTATGATACCCTCATCGATGGACCAGCTTGACCACCTCTCACCACTTGATTGTTAACCACATTCTAAGGTTAGTTAACCACATTCTAATATCGACCAGTGATAAGATCAGATAAAAGATAATAAATTTTATTTAAATGTATTCATTTTTCTAAAAAGTATTACATCATAAAAAGTAATAATATTTTCAAAAATGGGTAAAAAAAATAAACAAATATCAAAATAAGACAAAGTTAATATTTTTTTATAACCCATGAATGATTAATATTTTCAAGAATAAAACATTTACATTGTCAGAAGATATAAAAATTATTTTATATTTACTAAACTTTGTTTAAATAATTTCAGTCATTTTTAAGTAAACAAAAATTTTAAAGAATTATTTTGATAAAATATAACAGGAAACAACATAACTATAAATGGTTTTGAACGGATTGAGCTGTAAAGAAGAGAAAAGAAAAGATAAAATAGAGCTAGATTAAGTGACTGAGCCGAGCCAAATTCAAAAAATAAATACTTGTTTCTTTAAAGTTGTTTATACAAATAATTAACAAAAATAAAATTCTAAAGAATATTACTTAATTATTGTGTTAATATTTAAAATAATATATAAAAAATAAATTATTTATTACAAATAAAATGAGATAAAAATGAGTTTTTGTATTTACCTTGCTAGGATAGTTTAATGTAAGGATCGCCAAAGCATCATTTGGCTTACCAACAATTATAATAAATAATCTACCATGACACATTGAAAGTGTGATTAAAAACTATTTTAAATGATAGTCACATCATGAGAAACACTTAGTGTATTGATAAGCTATATAAGCCGAACTAGATCTGACTTATTTATTTTAGTCAAATTAATACTGTTAGTGAATAAAATAATTTATTATCAGTTTTGAATGCACTAATCTTGACTGAATTTACTTTGTCTGTATTTGTTAAAACCAGTTTTGATTATGATAGGTGTAGTAAAACTATTCTATTAAAATACCAATAAAGAATATAGTAAACCAATGAATGAACTTTCACGGAACCAGGGAATCTTTGCATTTAAAAAAGAGAAGTGAAAGTAAGAAAACAATTAATGCATTTAGCCGAGTGATTAGTTGCTCATGCTGGTGGGAAGGCTTGAAATTGTCTAGTGATTGGTAAATTACTCATATAGCGACAAATAAAGGAAAAAAATAACAATGTTTTTACTATTATTAAAATATTTAACATAAAAAAAGCACACCATATATCAAAGCTGTCAACTGTAAGGTATTGAAAAGGTATAGAATTCTCTTTACTATCAATTAAGCAAATTTATATTTATAACTATAAATTTAAATATTTGTAATTACAGACATAAGGCCAAATAAAGTGATTTACCCATTGAATATTGAGTAATTATGATGTTAAGAAGGAATTTTTCTGACACTTGGCTCAAAAGCATTGAAAATCCTTTTTACTAGACACCTGATGGTTGCCTCTTTGAGGTCTACGACACCATAATATCTATGATGGCCATGGATTGACAAGGAGTTGAAGATTTGGTATCTCGAAGAATCAATTAGTATGGTATCTCTACCAAGTAGAGGTGATGAATCAGAAGTTGTTCTCTATCCCTGGAACAATAGAAGACTTCACATTGATCTAGCCAGACCATCTCAAGGACAGAAATAAATTGACCAGTCTTGGTAGATGTCTTGTCAAAGCATCCTGAAGGTGAAGAGATCAGAAGAACGTCGACCAGAAAAAATTAAGAAACTACGAGGCATATTCGCTAGATATAGAATTCCCGACAAGAGTAGCCAAATTAAGGGAAAAGGATATATTCAGATATATTCGGATTTTAACAAATGTCAACATTTTAAAGTTTGTCTTAATCTTAAACCCTCCACATGAACTTGTCACAGGAGATAAAATAGATAAACATAACTGATAACACAAGATAGATTTGTTATGTTTATTGATGACTAAGAATCAGTAGTGCTACTTAGTGTTATCTCTGGTGATCCAATATAAAATTTTAAGGAGCCACAGTTACGGAAATTCGCCAAATTAAAGAGACAATAAAAGAAATGTGGCAAAAAATTATGGAATTTCTGAAAAGATTGTAATTTTCTCTGCTCATTACAAAAAAAAAAAAAAAAAAATTGTAAATGAAAAACATAAGAAAAAAAAGATTACCTTTGTTGCTTGGAGATGAGTTAAGGCAGTCATTTCATGTTGACTAGGCTGTGCACTGTTTTTCAGACACCGCCTTCTGTACAGCAAACTCCCACTACAGACTATTATAAATATTATGCTTATACCACAACCAAAAAGAATCCCTGAAAAAAGAAAAATAGAAATAATATAGAGCTTTTAAAACTTTAAGATGATTCATAACATAAAATTCAGTATATAAAATGAATTTTCAAAATTATGAAAAATTAAATTATTTTCCAAATAAATTATAATTACCAAGAAACTGATCAGAGCTTTTGTTGGCATTCGGTTGGTGAGGTTCAGGTGGCAAATTGCTGTCAGATGTTGAAGACAGAATGAAGTATAAGTTAGGAGACAGTGGACCAGGTCCAGATGTACCAACGCCTCTCATCGTCAACACGTACTTTGTATTGCTTTTCAAACCTGTCAGCTAAAGAGGGCAAGTAAAATTACATCAGTCACAAATTTGGTTTCATAAAATTTATTTTATGAATCTACACAATAAGAATTTGTTAACACTAAGGTTCTTTAGTATAACCGACAATAATTTAATTAAATTCTTAATTATTTGAAATTTTGTAATTTTATTTTACATTTACAGCATTAATATGATACATCCTCAATACAAGTACTATCAAATCTGAAAATCACTGTACATCACAGGAAATTAAAAAAACACTGTAATATCATTATCAATTCAGCCCAAACAATGGGGGTGTTTAGATTTCTACACTAATAAGTGCTTTAATGAATGTTTGAAGATTTTTTATTCGCTATTTAAAAATATTTAATTAAAACTACAATCGAGTGCAGGATTGAAAATCACAATTTTTCATAATCGATAGCATTTGTATCAACGATATGTATAATCACCAAATGATTTCAGTTGATTCAGTATAGCAGGTTCAGAACTCTTGCTTAAACATGTTTATTGAGACTAAATGAAAAATAAGATCAACAAAGATAGATGCTGTAACGAAAAAACATGGATTTTTAAAATTTCAAATATAAATCTCAACTAGGCATGGCTAAATATTTCCCCACCAAATCCCATACTTGCTCCATTGAGCTCATGTCCGGACTTCAGGAAGGACAAGCAATTAGATTCTTGGAAGAAATTTATCGCAGGTTAGGCATTTTGTTGCACTAGAATGAATTTGTCGCGTGTATTTATGACAAAAGGTATCACATGTGACTTTTGGATCTCCCTTGTGTACCTCAAAGCCATTAATGAGTCCCTGTCTACAAGAAACAAATTCATAGTGGAGTTGAAATTTAAGCCTCGCCAAACCACCACTTAGCCTCCTCCGAAAGCAACCCTTGGAGAAAAATTACAAGGAGCATACCTCTCTCCCTGCCTCCTTCGGATTTATCAGGAGACCTTAGGCTGAATCTAGACTCGTTGGTGAATAATACGTGGCACCAGTCTTACCGACTCCGGTTTGGGTGTTTCTGGACAAACCTCAAGCGCTGAGCTCAGTGCTCCCTGGAGCAAAAACCCTCTTCCTAAAAGATGATCATGGGAAAGAGACTGTAATAAGTATTAATAGAAAAAGGCCTTTTTAGTCTCGATAAATAATTACTTTATTTCAAATTGATCCAAATTTTTGCCTCTTCAGGCATAATCTGATTAAATTTTCAATTGAAAAAATGTATAAAAAAATCTTTCGGAGGATTTACTATTAGACATTAGCTCATTTATAAAACCATAATAACCTTAAAAACAATATTCACTAGTCAATAGTTTAATGTACAATAGTAAATCCTCTGAAAGATTTTTGTACATGTTTTTTTTTTTTCAGATGATAAATTAAATTATATATGAAATCAGTTTATCCCTGAAGGTGCAAAAATTTGGATAAATTTGAAATAAAGTAATTATTTATCGAGGCTGAAAAGCTCTTTTTCTACTAAAACCTTTTTCCGTTAAAGTAAAAATACGGATCGATTCTTCTTGGGTTGATTCCCTTCTGTTTGCCATCAAAATTTTCTAAATTACTTCATAAGCAAAAAATGTTGTCTAAAACATGGTTTTATTGCATGTGTGTATGCATTCAAAACTAATGTATAACTTTGAGCAAGAGTACTCAAAATGTGCTTAAGTTATCTTCTTAATCCCAAGGATTGATTAATGATTATAGTCTGAGGATACAATTGATAAAGAATTATAGTAATTCCATTATGGTAACAGAGAAATATTTATTGTTTTCATTATCAATATATTATACCAATATTTCGTACGGCAGTTCGATACGTACATGCTATAAAAATGGGACATGGATTAAAATAAGCAGATTAATAATGGGACATAGCCATTCATACCATCAATGTCATTTTTTTATTATTTATGTTTTAAGTTTTATATATTAACATATTGATAACCGGTCCTCACAGAAAGAGTAACATTTTAGGATTTCTTATTTTGGTGTTATGCAACATTAAATAATTGTATAAGACATTGTCTTTCCTTATTCAATCAAAACTATTCAAATAAAATAAAAATACTTAATAACTAAAATGTTTTAGGTGCCAAAATAAAAATAACAAATGAAGGTTGAGTAACGTATCTTCTTACTACATTCTTCATTAAAAATATAAATTTATAAGAAAATAATGCTGATAACAATAAAAAATACTTGAAAATGAAAAAAACTAGCAATGAAATCATTGAAAAAAGATGTCGAATAATTAATTATGTATTGATAAATTAATTTTTAAATAATTTCAATTCACTATTTACCTTAATAGATGTCTCATTGGCTTGGACAGATTTGGAATGCCAAAGATTGATCGGTGCTGCGAGATCCCTACTGTAGAACACATTATAGCTATGGACTGCAGGTATTTGAAGAGGAGCCCACATGACCAACACCGCTGATCCATTTATTGGCTCATACTTCACATCATTTACCACTTTTATAACTAAAACAATAATTTATGTTACTATCCAATAGTACACAATTTTTTTATTTTTTTCATGTGTAAAATATAATTTATCATAAAGACTTTACAGAAATTACCATATGGAGGGGTCCGACATTCAAGTTTGATGCTATATGAACTGGTTTTATTCTGAGATCCATATGCCTTAACTCTGGTTTCATATACTGTGTCGCCACTTAAATCATTTACTTCTACTTCCGTCTTATTCCTAGATAAAATTAAAAAATATTATTACTTTTATTTTTAAAGCAAAAATTTACACATGTTCTCATTTTCATAATAAAAACATTAATCCATATAAGATTTTGATACAAATGCAAAATTTCAATAAAGGTAGTTTGTGCCAAGCAACTTCATGCTGTATATTTTTAAAGACACACATTCCATTCACACACAAAATACTACTTTAAGTTGGATTTTTAAAAGATATGTGATAAAGGTTCACTCGGAAAGCAATATGAATAGCAGGTTTTGCTGTGGAAGAAAAAAAATCTAAAATTAACAATAAACTATTGTATTTTGTATCCATTTTTTAAAGTATTATCTTAGCAACCAAATAGTAAAAGAGATTCAGAAAACATTCAACTTACGTAACAAGAGTCCTCGATATTTTCCCTCTACTTTCCAGCTCCAGAGTATATAAAAAGACGGATGAATGAGGAGGTGGCTTCCATGAAACTCTGAAATGAATATTTAATTATTTATGTCAAAAAAATAAATTAATGCCAGTTTCTGGTAAAATATATGCAGATTGATCAAGTTATATTATGAATATTAAATAATAATGTATAAAAAGTTACCTGATAGTTGAAGGTGACAAGGGAGCAGCTTCCATTAATATTGGAGGAGGAAGAGCACCATCACCACCTACCAGAATTGTCACTGAACAAGCCTCACCAAACAATTTGCCTGCGTACGCCTTCAGGCTGATATCATACCAGGAGCTGCTGTCTATGGAGGAAAATAACAATTATAAATAATAGTTACACTTAGTATCAGCAATTAAAAATTTTAAGAGTTTATTTATTAACATGTACTACTAAGTATTTTGTAAATGTTTGTACTTTAAAATTTATTCTTAATTTTTATATTGTGTAAGGGCAGAAATGAACCGTAAATGGTTAAAAAGCCCTAATTAATAGAAATAAATAAATGAATAGCACTTACCAAGCCCTGAAATAATATGTGAGGTAGCATTTGCAGAAATAGAAATATTTCCTTCATTCCCTCCTATGACTTTTCTATAACTAAGTAAGAATCCATCGATGTTTTGAGGATAATTGTAGTTCCAATCGACCTATAAATGGTCAGGTAAATTTTATTAATCATTAAAAAAAAGAAACAGATTCTCATGAACAAAATATAAAATCATATCTAATATTTTATAATTGGAAAGGTTTCATGTAATCAGTAATTTGAATATGAAATATGATTAATTATAATAATAGATATCTTAATAAAATGCTAAAATAACTGATTATGAATTCCAATCATCACTTATTTAATTTTAATTTTTTTTTTTTTTTTTATTTGTTTATTTAGAAATATTACATTCTGTCACATCAAGGACATTTATAATAGTGTTCAGAGAAAGCACACTCACACTCTATTTACAATAAAAAAAAAAAAAAAATAATACAGAAACTTAATAATAATAAATACAATAAATAAAATAAAAATAAATACAAGAAAATAAAATAAATGTATATAAACAAAAGAACTAACCTAATCATACACACTCGGGCTTGAGTGGAGGATCTGGCCATTGCCAAAACTCCAATAGATGCTTATTTACAAAAGGTCTCTGGGCCACTGCCGCTTCAACCTTCGAGGAGGATTGTAAGGATGGGTGGTGCTGGATAGAGATTGTGCAAGGGGATTTGGATGATAGGTAAGGTTCTGGTGAAATTTGGAGAATTTTTCTGGAATAAGGTCTAGGACAAATGGGATATTAAGGTCATGGTGTAGGATTTTGTTATTTACATAGAACGGAGCATCAACTATTGTTCGAAGGACTTTAGATTGAAAGGATTGAATACGTTTGATGTTAGAAGCTTTTGCTGTACCCCACAGTTCAAGTCCGTATGTCCATATAGGTTTCAGTATTGTCTTGTAGATAAGTAATTTGTTTTCAATAGAAAGTTTGGATTTTCTGTTTAGTAGTCTGTATAGCTGGCTGTATCGTCGGTTGAGTTCTTGTCTTTTGAGTCTAGTATGTGGGTTCCACGTCAGTCTTCGGTCTAAATGAAAGCCAAGATACCGGACTGTGTCTGAGTAAGGAAGCTGGATGGAATTAAAGTGTACTGGTGGACAGGAACTGCGTCGGAGTGTAAAGGTAATGTGTTGGCATTTAGATTCATTAACTTTAATGCGCCAGTTATTACACCAGAATTTTAATTAATTAATAAATTCTGCTTAAAATATTTTATGCGTATCATGATGATAGATGATACTATCATCTAAAGTTTTTTTATATCTAGAGAGAAGCAACTTCCATAGCTACTTCTATATATACAAAGATTGGAACTTCCTAACTACATTGGGTCAATAGGATAAAAACTGAAGTGAAAAACTATTTGTGTGCCAGTAATTTGAAAATGAATCCCCACACGGGTCTCATAGTTATTGGCCCTAAAAAGCCAATATAATTATTGCTTTTCTGATAATAACTAAATGTATGACTCCTATACATTAGAAGACATAGTGCCTGAAGGAGGGTTAACTAGATTTCCTCATGTAATTAGCTGTTATTTTTTTATTTCAATTATTAAGTATTTCAACCACAAATTGGAACGATATTACCAATATTATCACAAAAAAAAAAAAAAAAAATCATTTACTTACCCTCAAAGATGTTAGATTAATTGAAGATGTAGAAATAGAAGGAGGAGGAAAGTTAGTTGAGGTAGGAGGTAACGTGACGTTTATCCAGGCTTGAGCATCAGGGAATTCTGGCCAACCAAGGGAAGTGGCAGCCAAAACACGTATCATATATCTTTCTCCACTGTCTAACGCTGTAATAGAGGATTTTTTAAATAGTATTAGTAATCTAAACAATATCAGTAATCTGAATGTCAATGATTAGGTAAGGTATTTTGCAGTCATCACATTATATATTTGTAAAAAATCTAATTTTAATACTATTAATTCATCAAATAGCACTAGAAATTTCATCATAGTTGCAAAAATATGGAAACTAAATAAAATAAGGGATAACTCATTGTTGAGATCTTAGGCAAGAACATAAATTACAAGTTATCTCATTGATGGGTAATCAACATGGTAATAATATTTTTTTCTATTAACAATAATGTTATTTTCTAAATAATTCAAAAAAATTACAAATGGAAAGTATTGCAACATTAATTATAATTTTTTGTTTTTACTCATTTTAATTTTATATCAGATAGGATACACCTAAGTGTATTTCTGCTACAATCTTCTTAATAATCTATTCTGAATAATTAATTGAATTTTCTTAACAAAATTTTCTCCAAAAAACTACATTCCTTATATAAATATTTCTCAATTTACATTTTTTTCCAAAATTTAAATATTATTCAAGTATATATTAATATTGTCATCTCACCTGCAATCCTATACTGATTGATATGAGCCGGGAGTAGCTCAAAGTTGACTGATGATTGATTAACCCTCTTCCACTGAACCTTGTAGCTTGTAATTGTTCCCCTAGCCTTCGTGGTAGGAGGTGGTGACCAGGTCACCAGTAGGCACTGGGAGCCAGTGATAGTGACATTCACCAGTGGACCTCCACTTGGAACTGTTACAGAAATTTAATAATAGGTTAAGAAAATTTAGTTCTAAAAATTCTAATCCTATAAAATGAAAGTTAAATTTCTTATATAAAATTTATTTATTTGATATATAAGACATACCTGTCTCACCGGTGGAACAAACAACACGCTGACTCTGTTCAGAAGCTGATGTACCATACGATCTGATGTAGAAGGTATAGTTGGTATATGGCTGAAGCTTCTGAACTGTAAAAGTGTTATTAGGTGCGACTTCTTTATACTCCTCTCCACCTTCTATTGACATAAAGATCACAAAAACATTTCAAAACTGTAGTAGACTAAAATGCAACTTATTGTTATCATAACTACAATAGAACAAGTTAATCAAGAGATAATTATCTAATTTTAATTCAGCATTTTGAACTTAATGAGATATGAGTTTACTTGGCATATATAAAAAATTATATGGCAGTGGATAATACATTTGAGCAGTATAGGGAACATAAGCAAGTAGCCTATGAATTAAGTAAATAATAATAAAAAAATAAAGATAATTTTAACATTTAAAGACAAAATAAATCAGAATACTTGTAATGGGGGAGTAGGGTGAACAAGTAGGCTAATGCCTGTGTATAAAATATAATAAAATAAAATAAAATAATTACTGGTACGCGAACCGATGGCAGGGAAGGAGGGGGAGTAAGGAAGCTTTTAACTCTCTGGTATTAATCCTGCAGGATTAATAAAGGGTGGACCCTTGCTTCTGGTCCAGGAAACCCATATAGCCTAAAAGGTGAGGAAGGCGAGAACAAAAAAAAAAAAAGAAAAAAGAAGAACTTTTTTATTACCTTAAGACTAAACCCCATTTGTCTTGGAGAGTAACTAGCCTTACCAAGAGGGTCTGAACTTGTTTGATTGCATTGGTTCCTCTCAAATTCTAACATTGAGCAAGACTGATTTAAGCTTTTTTTTTAAATACCTACATGATAAATTCATATATTTATTTAGATTAGATAAAATAAGAATATATTTGAAAGGAAAAAAAAGTGACAGTAATCTAAATTTATAAGTTTAGTTTAAATAATTATTATACAGCAATGTGAAGTATCTTAATTTCGTCAACTATCCAGGAAATCAAAAATGTATTATATTCGAATTTTGCATTTATTGTTGAACTATAAATATTGACCTCAGATTAAGTGGTAAATTTTGTAGAAAACGGTTTAGGAGTAGCAGATCTTCTAGTTTCCATAGGAGCAAAGGACCACCATGAATTGTTGCATTTATCCTCAATCAGATGCTAAGTTATTCAATTTGTTCAAATACTATCCTGATAGTTTCTGAGATATTTTAATCCATATGTAAAAATATTTTAATTAGTCGACTCTAGCCGACTTTACCCAAGTGTTAATGCCAAACGAAATCAGACCGATCAATCTAATTCACTCTCCACAAAAAAGTGCAAAATGCGCCTAAAGAAGTTTTCACTTCAAAAACTAAGGTGTGTGCTTTAGACCACACGATATCATTGAAAACATCAATAAGGTGAGATTAATAATATAAAATATAAATAATAAATAATAGCTCATTACAAAGAAGATGAAACGCTTAACATTTCCCTCACTTTCAGTGCACCTATCCAATTTTTAGTATCTGAAATATTTTAATCTATATGTTCAACTAACTTTATCATTTGGTTTTCAGCACTATTTTTTTCCTTTTCGCCTCACTAACAGGGTGTCGTGTTAAGATACAATTTTGAATTATAACCTATTATAGAGAGGATGAAATGCTGAACAATTTCTTTGCTTACAGTATGCAGACAAGATTTATAGTTTCTGAGATATTTTAATCCATATGTAAAAATATTGTAATAAAACGACTCCAGCCGACTTTACCCAAGTGTTAATGCCGAACGAAATCAGACCGATCAATCTAATTCACTCTCCACAAAAAAGTGCAAAACGCCCCTTTTCACTTCAAAAAAAGTTAAGTAACTTAATAAGTGAATCATTCAGTGTGCCTACGTAACAGTTACTTATAAACTTGCCTGTTGGGAAGTAATGAACTGAATATGCTTGCACGACCCCAGATTGTGTTGGGGTCCAGGAAAGCCGGATCTGTGTGGAACTGAGAGGGCTGCAAGTCAGGTTTGCAGGTGGTTGTGGCTGGTCAGGGCGGGAGTTAACCAGAATCCTAGCAGCTGCCCATACATCACCAGCAAAACACTGATATACTCCAGTATCCTGAGTCACTGCAGCTCCCAATACCAGCTGTTTAGGATTCTTTTTTATCCTTCCTGTACAACAATTTCATTTATATAACTAATTAAGTAAACAGAACATAATTGCGGAAAAAAAAACATTCCATCAGCATGCCAAATAAAGCAACATAAAATATCTAAATTTTTAATTAAATTAACATATGCAAACAATTTTAATACACATTTCCTAAAGAATCCAAATACAATTCTAATTTAACAAAATTAATTTTACAAAATGTAGGGTATTTTTATTAAATTAAAACTAATTTTAATAATTTATTGGCCTTTATAATGGGATAAGTCTTTCTGGAATAAGGTAGTAACAAATTAAGCTTCATCTGTGAGTTTGATCTAAAACCCGCTGTTCTCTATGGGATAATGATACAAACAAATAGTTACCCAAAGATCCACAATTGGTACTACTCAATCAAATTAATCATCATAGTATGTAATATTATTTATAAATACACGAATGAATATGTGTAATAACAACAACATAAAAATAAAAATATAAAAATGAAATTTGCTTATTTAAGAAATAACAAATTGTTGTGTTTGGTCATTTGAGAAAAAGTGTCAATCAGTACACAACCCATTTTATCAAGATTTACTCTAAAATGAAATAACTGATTCAAAAGTTTGTTAACTCACTAATGAATATCTTCTTGGGAAAGAACTAAATAATTGAAGACAATAAACTTTGAGTGTGGGGTGTTAAAAGAAATCAAATGGAGTGGGTGACACATGTCAACCACGGAGGAATTATGTTAAAACTAACACAGATGTTGTGTAGAATTAATACTCAAGGGTTAATTCAATGAAATGATGAAAAGTCTCTCAATATACCATTAATATAAAGCTGAACTCCATCTTTGTACCAGGTAACTTCAGGCATTGGATGTCCTTTTACTTCACAATCAATTCTAATGGTTTTCGCAGCAGGGTAGACTTCTGATTTTGGTTTTTCTACAATCTGAGGAGGTGTTTCTACAGAGACGGTAACTTTCTGAAATAGAAAGAGGAAATCACATAAGTGAAATATTTATTTGGCAAACATAAAAATATATTCTTTTAATGATGCACATCAGAAAATCCAACATTTTTTTTATTCACCTAGAGAGGATACTAATATGTTTTAAACTTCTAATAAAATGTATATAAATTAAATTAAATTAAAATGATACGTAATTTAGACATTTGAACAAAATAACACATCACAGGGGTGAATATTTGAAGCCAATTATAATAAATAAATATAGAAGTTGTTATTTATATGGAATTGGGAGAAAGAGTACAAGGTCACTTGTGAAGCCTAGCAACAGATGAATTTTGGAGCTGGTCTCACTTCAGCATTTTTAAATGTGAAAATCAGAAAATTAGAAGAGGAAAAATTTTAAGTTTGTAAGAAACAGAACAATGTGAAGACATAGATATTTTTAAAATTTGAAATTTTGAATTTATTTGTTTGTTTCAGATTTAAGTGTAAAATAACATAAAATTATATAACAAAACCAAATTAATTACTATTCATCTACATTCTAAAAATACTAACATGACCCAGCCCATTACAGATAAAGTTTCATCCTCAATAAATTATTTTATATTTTTATTATAAACTTTTCTTTTGTCAAAAAAAATGTTTTTCTGTAAAGTATATCATTTGTATATGTAAATTTTATTTTTTATTTGCAAAAATTATAGTCTAAACAGTAGATAATTTTAATTACAAAAAATAAAAAATTACAAGGGTTCTTTAACCTATGTCATTTTTGGGTGGTAATATAATAAAAGAATAATTTTATAATTGATTAAGTAGTTATGTTTAAGTATTTTTAAAACGTATTTCATGGAACAAACTTCGTGATACATCCATCCAAGCACAGAATGAGAAAAAGAAAGTGAAATCAGAGAAAGCATTTTTGAGAAAAAAATAGTATGAAAATGGATTAATTTAGTTGAAACCACTTTTTTAATAAACGTTTTGATTAAAAAAAAAAAATTGAAATCCTGATTGTTATATATTTTAATAAAGTACATACCTTATTTATAATATAAGTTTTCTCTTTGGCAGTTTGAGTTCCTGTACAAATGTAGACACCAGAATTTTGAACTTGAATTTTATTGTAACGATATATATTCAGACCATTATTCGTTGTTTGCAGTGTTACATTATTGCCATCTGGAATGAAAAAAGTCATAATTATTCAGATGAATGATTATACCTCTTCAAAAAATATGAGAGATAGATATGAAAGAAGATAAATAAAAATTAATAAGTAGTAAAAAATCTATCTCTTCAACTGAAAGAATACAAATGAAAATCTTTTAGTACTGTTTTACAAATAAAATATTATTATCAGGTACCAAAGTTAATAGTAACTAACTAATCTTCATTGAACCCATTGATCATCAAGGCTAAATAGATGGGAGTTATAATACAAAAAATAAAAAGACTTGATTATTTACAAAATAAACAACTTAAATAACTAAAATATAAAACCTCTATCTCACTTGAAACAGATTTCAGCTGTAAGATATATTGAATATGTTGTATAAATTTTCAAAGCTGTTTTTTGTTGATCATTATACTTAATTTATTGAGATAATTCATAGCGAAAAAGATTTAAACGTGAGAGGTAATATATAAGCTTGACCACACACACAGATGGGGAACGAGAGGGAAGTTTAGCCAAGGCTGTATCCCCAGGACCTGAGCCTGAAAAAGGGGGACCAGCTTAGCAAACCAGGGTTTAGTTTTTGCCTTATATATATAAATAAAGTTATATATATTATAGATTTGTGTGGAGTTACTTCCAAGGGTTTTAGGTGATAAATTGCTAGATTATTATGCCCATAGAATTCCTAACTAATAATATTACCATTTCTTAACATGTATAATGTTCTTTTACAATTTGTATGTTTTAATTTTTAAATTAACATTTTATATTAATTAGGAAGTTTCTTCTTTTTTTTTTTTCATAACCTGATTTGATTCATATTTTCCTATAAATCTTGATTTCTTTTAGAAGTTCAATCAGTGCATCCAATCAACATTTATTGTCTGCCAATAGTTGAGAGAACTGCCTGGAAAGACCTATTGAAGAGAAAACAGCTGAGTATTGTGGAAATTTCTCGATGATGTGCCTAATAGTGAGTGGAGTAGAGCACCGTTCGCATTTCACTACTTCTTCTTTATTAATTAAGTGTCTATGAATGAGTAGCGAGTGACCTATACTCAATCTCGTAATCACCAACTCTTCTATTCTGTTATCTCTCACAGCTTTTCCATTATCATGTGTTGCTCTTGATTCCTCATAGCTTATTTTGAGAGGAGACACATTCCCAGAGGTTTTTTCAATCATCAGAGACCCTGTTCCTTCACCATTTTTTGATGTCTTGGTCTTCGAATATTTTTATTTGTGGGGTATTCATTTGTGCTGATTTATCCGCTGCTTCATTTTCCTTAGTACCAGTATGGGCTCCCAATACCAATTCAATATCAATATCAATATCATTTAGATTACAACAAAGATAAAATAAAAATTACAGAAGTAATACTATTATTAATAAATAAGGTGAAAAATTGTATACAAAAACAGAATATAAATACAGGAGAAAACAAATATGAGGGTGGTCTGAAAAGTTTCTGACCGCAACATAAAGATGGCAGCACTCGTAAATAAAAGCAAGTGAATTTCATTGTTCATCTGTTGAGAGTTACCCACCAAAGTTTCAGCCATTTTGGACGTGTAGTTTTTATGTAACAGTCGTTTGAGTGAGTTGATGTGAGAATTTTTTGTGAAAATGGACAAAATAGAGTATCGAGCTATCATTAAATATTTGTTTTTGAAAGACAATAAGCCTACGCATATCAAAGATGAGTTGGATTCTGTGTATGGGAACTCTGCACCATCCTTAACCACATTGAAATTTTGGGCAGCTGAATTTAAACGTGGCTATAAGAGCATGGGAGACAATGAACGTTCGGGATGTCCAAAAACTGCAACTACCGATGAAAACATCGCCAAAGTTCACTAGATGACCTCCGAATTAATGTGAGAGAGATAGCAGAGGTTATGAACATATCAAAAGAACATGTTTCTTACATATTAAATCAACATTTAAATATGAGAAAGCTATCAGCACATTGGGTGCCGCGTTTGCTCACATTAGACCAAAAATGTGTTCGAATGAACATTTCCAATGCTCTGTTGGTGCCGATTAATTACTGTAGATGAAACTTGGATACACCATTATATGTCCGAAACAAAAATACAATCCAAACAGTGGAGGGCAAAGGGGGAACCGGCTCCAAAAAAAGCAAAATCTGTTTTCTCGGCTGGGAAAGTGATAGCAACTGATTTTTGGGGTTTGTCATAGAGTTATTTTAATCGACTATCTTCAAAAAGAAAAACCATTAAGGAAGCATACTACACATCGTTACTTGACAAACTGAAGGCAGAACTTGCGGAAAACCGACCACATTTGCAGAAAAAGAAAATCCTGTTTCACCAAGTAAAGAGCCAATCACCATCGTGAATAATTATTTTGCAGAGAAAACGCAGAGTACTTTTAGGATGGGTCACAGAGATGGAAGTATCGCTGGAAGATTTACAAGGAGACTATGTTGAAAAATAAAAAAACATTCAGAAAAAATGTCTTGTATGTTTGTTAGGTCGGAAACTTTTCAGACCACCCTCGTACACAATTAATTGTTATATTTGTGTTATAGTTGAAATGCATTCTACCGCTTTAATTAAATTGTCTTAAGAGTAAAATTATTAAATACAATTGATTTAAATACCTTGCTTTGTGTGGACCCAAGAAAGGGTAGGCTTTGGTAATCCTGACACAGCACAGATGAGGGAAACAGGCTTTCCAACTTTGGCTGTCAATGTTGAAGGAGGTGAATTAGGTAGGGAGTGGGCGGGTTTAGTCGAAGATCCTTCTTTAACAATAATAATACCACTTTTGCTTTGCGGTGTTTTCTTTACATGGGGATTTTTAGCTTCACAACTAAAAAAAAACAAAAGAAAAGAAAAATTAAGCTGATTAGAAAAAAATATGATAGCATTAAACATTTTCATTGAATCAATAAGATTAAGATAAAAGAATCAAAGAACAACTCAAGATTGGAAAAACTGGTTCTTAAACTAATATATCACTCATTGTATTATTTAATAGGAAATATAATGAAAATTAATACAAAACAATAAAAATATGAACAGTAAAAAAAAGTCTAAAGATAAATGATGATATAGTTGTTCTGAAATTTTATTCATTCAATTATCACAATAATTAATGATTGAATACTTAAACTTAGAGAACAAATATTTTATAATTAGATCATTTTAAACTGAAGAAATAAATATAAATATTATCATGATGTAGAGTTGGTTGACCGTTGATATGATATGAGAAGGAATTAGTCGAGGGTGCGGTCAAAAAAAATAAAAAAAAATTAAAATATATAAATAATTTTAATTTTTGCCGACGTTTCGACCCACTTTGCAGGTCGTCTTCAGGGCTACAAAAGATACAAACATGTTGAAAAAATAAAAATAAAATAAAAAATAAATATAAGTATATATAAATTACGAAGAAGTTGTCAGATACAGAAATAAAAGATAAAGAAAATAAATACATGATAAGAAAATAGATAAAAGAAAATAAATACATGAATGTTAACGAATAAATGAATGTTAACGAATAAATTGATTGAAAATTGAATAACTATTGAATAACTACTAAAACAATAGTTATTCAATTTTCAATCAATTTATTCGTTAACATTCATTTATTCGTTAACATTCATGTATTTATTTTCTTTTATCTATTTTCTTATCATGTATTTATTTTCTTTATCTTTTATTTCTGTATCTGACAACTTCTTCGTAATTTATATATACTTATATTTATTTTTTATTTTATTTTTATTTTTTCAACATGTTTGTATCTTTTGTAGCCCTGAAGACGACCTGCAAAGTGGGTCGAAACGTCGGCAAAAATTAAAATTATTTATATATTTTAATTTTTTTTTATTTTTTTTGACCGCACCCTCGACTAATTCCTTCTCATATAAATATTATCTTATAAATATAAATATAGATATCTATTTAAAATGCATAATATATTTAAAATACTTACGTATAACTACCAGCATCTTCTTGTTTAACATTAGTTATATATAGTGTACCTGAGTCAAATGCAGTAAATCTGAAATAAAATAACAATGATTAGATATTTCATAAATGTTTAAAATCATAAAGGTAAATAATTTAAACAAATAAACCAGATATTCAAAACTTAACAATTAAGCATTTAAATAAACTTCTAGAACAGAATCAAAGATATTTAAGGATTATGATTTAGTCCCTAACAGGAACCTTGTAATTAATCAAATAACAGTCTGCAGATAAAGAAAGAACAGACATAAGGCTGCAAAGAACTATCAAAGTCAATCAAAAGAATATTATTACAAGGAGCTTTAACAAACATTGATAATACTTACAATTTGAAATAATTATATTTATTAACAAATATTTATATTTTATTAATTTGTATGGTATAAATATACCAATATTAATTAATATTTACATACTATTATACATATAAATAAATGTTTCAAGCATAAGCAATAAATTTTATAAGAATTATTTAGATTAAGACAATGTGCAGGTTTAAAACTATTAAAATATAGATAACAAATATCGCAATGCATAATAGTAATTTTTTAATGGAAAATTTTTAATGATTATAATACTTAACAGGACTTATAACTGATTAATGTATTTATAATTATTATAAAGTAATATATTATTATTGGAAAAAATGTAATATTATTTATAGAAATAATCTAGTTAATTCAGTATCTGTATTTGAAACCTAGCAATATAACTGAAAACAAGACATTTCCGATAGAGTTTGTGGGAAGGGTAAATTGAGGGCAATTGAAACGTTGAAAGACAGGCTGTTAATGGTTTTGGTGGAGTCTTAAGGGGATCAATCCAGGTCCGCAGCAATAAATTTATCTGGCTTATTCTCTTACACCTGCTCTCACTTCCTTATCATTTCTATACATATGCCTAAAAACTGTCAATATATCTATAGAACACAATATTTATAGATGTAAAAATAATAAGACAAAATAAAAAAAAAATAAAAAATAAAACAAAAAGAAAGAAAAAAAAAGAATTTACATTTCAGTATGAGAAGCAAAAAAAAAAATAAATAAAAATTGTCTTCTAGAGTATTATCCAGATTTTTAAATTTTATTTATATAGATTTAGCACCAAAGTCACAAGTCTTCTCAAAACATTCAAGCAGACATAGGATTGCTACTCACTAATTTGTTTCCAATAGATCCAAATCCATACAATTAGAGGCTTCGTTTGCCATTTATGAAAGAATTTACATTTTAAAGTGCTATATAAAATAATATAATTATAATAATTAACTCGATTCAGCTGAAACAAAACACTTCATTTTTAATTTTTGTAATATCAGTTTTTATTACTTTATTGGTTTGAAGAAATTCTGGTTTTGGTATGAAGGTTGAGATTAATTATTGAAAGACCTTGAAAGAAAGAAGTTGTCAAATCAAACAGTATCTTGTTGAAATTATCACAAATTATTTTGATTATAAAAATATTAATTCATGAACAATATTGTTATGAAATATCAAAATACAACAGCAGATGATTGCTGGTAATAAACAATATGACAAAGTTTAAATGTCTTCATCTTTTGTGTGCTTCTAGGAAAGATTAATGTCAGAACTCAACTTGACAGCGCCAAGTAATTTTCAAGACTTTTTTTTTTACAATGTTTCTAGATCTGGTTGACACTTTTATTTAAAATTGTTATTATTTATAAATACGTAGTAATATTTAAATTGCATTGTGATAAAAGGATCGTTTCTATAATTCAGCCATTAGACACGTAACTAATTAAGAAAATAGTATACACTGGTGTGCCAAACAACTAATTTCAAAGGAATAATTAATATTATTGCAAAATATTATGGTAAGTATTCATATTAAAAAGTTGGACTAGATAAACAGTAAACAATAGTTACATATACATGACTAGTCTTTAGTTATTCATAAACATTTCACATCTAAAAATGTCGAACATATACACATGAAACTCTTCCCAGGAAACAGCAACGAGAAAAAAAAAAAAGACATGGCAAAAGTCATTATTTCATGCAAATTTAGTTGGTTAGAGCATAGTTTTCGAACACGACATACCTTGTTTTCCATTCCATAATATTCTTTTCTTGTAATACTATCTCTTTCCTACTAATACCTGCGTCATAATGAATCACTAAATCGAGGTAATAGTGGCCGACGCACAAGACGAAACGGCCAAGCATTATTAATCATCAAAAACATTATTTTTAAACCAGACTTTTAAACTACAATAAGATTATTAGTAGACATTATGTTATGCAAAAACGTAAATGGTAATTGTTTAATAAATTTGGCTAGGTTCCAACCTAACTTGAATGCTGCTAATGTAAAGCGCTTTTCAGAGAAAAATATTTATTTTTTATGATTACAAAATTTTGCACCCTTCAGAAAGATTTTGCGTATAAATCAATCATCTAAGTCGATTTATCTTTATCTAAGTCAATCTTTTATTATTAAAGAAAATGTTTAAAAATATTTGTGAATCTATTTTATGTCGTTGATTTGTAACTGTTCCATTTTACAAATATTCATAAATTCCACTCGATCGCACCTATCTGTTTAATTTATAGAATAATTTCAATGAGACAACATGTACGAAATATGTTTGCTGAAATAGGAACCTTACATTTTCTTATAAGATCAATCGCAGTAGATGAAGTAAAATTAAAAAAAAATGTGGCCTTAATAATCAATGTGTTTTTAAACCCCGAATGATCTTCAAAACAGCTCCAATGACCAATAAGACAGATTTAGATTATTATGAAATCAACATTCTTTTATTAAATTAATTTTAATAATCCGAATTTATTTAGTAAATTTATTTTACTACAAATAAAAATAATACTCTATGAGAAAAAGAAACATTCACACACTGAAAGGCAACTAAATTTATTTTTAAATCAATTTAATATAGCCTAGTGGATACTGGAAGGTGATATGTCTAGTCTGTTACGTGTCACTTAGAATTCCAAAACTAATTTTAACATAACGCTAATAGTTTTAATATATTTATTTGCCATAAAATTTCATCCAACTTAAATCGCCGCAGAGAGATCCAGAATTAAGGAAACTTAATCAAAAGTCGAAAAATGATTTTTATACTTCAAAAACATAATTGATTTTAAAAAATATTCTTTAAAACGTAAAAAATAATAAAGATTTGAGAAAACACAAAATTACTAACCTTTTTGAGATAAGGAAGTGGTTAAATTATCATTACTAAAAGTCACGTATCAAAAGGAGTGTTTTAAACAGTAATTTTGAAATATAAAAGTATCTGCATTCAATTTATTAACAATTTTACTTTCAAAGGTGATCAAAACATTGACGAAAAAAATAGTCACTACAAGTTTCAACTTTTTTATCGATTTTTATTGTCATTTCTCAAACGAAACTGTGAATATTTTTTCCAATTAAGTAATGGAATAATTAATAATCTGTGGCAGAGATGGGCAAATGCTACTCTGAGTACCGAGTATCAAGTATTTTATTCAAATTTAATCACTATTGAGAATCCAATCACAACTTCAGTTAATCGTTTGACACCAACTGAAGTAGTACTTAAATTCTTTGGTACTCAAAAATGGTCAGTATTTGAGTACAATACTTAGTATTCAGTACTCAGAATATCATTTTCCCATTTCTGGTCCGTGGTAAATACCCCTTTTTACCAAATTAATAACGTCCACCTTAAACTTCGTGAATGGCTTTATCTTATCGTAACCTACAAATTTTATATCAACGAAAATTTTCAGAAATTTGTCGTTTTCTGGTTAAATTAATCTATTTAAGGAGGTATTAAAAACTCGCAAATACCCATTTGCTTTCCACTTGAATCGTAAGATAAATAGATAAAAAAATCGAAAGAAGCTGACCTGCAAAAATATAGTGCAGATGGACCTATACAACCTCGTTATTTTGAGATTGGTTGATGGTCACGCCAAACAACGGCCTAATATTTTTTTCTCTTTTCTCAATTTTATGATCAAATTACCTTACGATTCAAGTGGAAAGAGCAAATGAATGATAATCAATTTTTAGTATCTAATTAAGTATATAGGAAATTTGCCGATTTTCAGATTAAAAACGCCCAATTCCGAGAATATTCGTAAATAAAAAAATTGTAGGTTACGATGAGATGAAGCAATTCACGAGGTTTTAGACGGATATTAATAACTTAATAAAAAGGATCATTTTCTTAAGGTTTAAGGTCTGTACCACGGATTATTTATAATACATTGATTTTCCAGCATAAGTTTTTACTTGGGAAAAAGTTCCTGCGTTGTTATTCCTAAACAAATTTCAGGGAAATAAGAATTCACAATTTTATACAAAGGAATAAATCAGATAATCACCAATAAATTATGCTGAAGATCAACAATTTTAATAAATGAAATTAAATTTAACGAAATTTCAGAACAATTACATATACAAGTCCTGATACTTATAAAATTAATAATATTTTTAAAAGAGACAAAAAAAAAATTGTGGACCTTTTACAAGTTTATAAAACATGGTCTCCATGACTAAATATCGAGTGGATCATTTAAATAAGAGTGAGATTCACTCGATAAAATGTTCATGTTCTGTCGTTTATATCGTGCAGGCGGGAAGAAAACTAATAAGCTACAGCTAAAAACTAAAAATTAAAAACTAATTAAGGAACACTCCCTGGTTCAGGCCATGTATTGAATTTTAAAAATCATTTTTTAAATTGTTCACACCCACAAAAAAGTAATAAGGTAAAACTGTTGCATGCCGTTTCAAAAGGAAAAAAACAGACTTTTTTGAAAAATTAGAAATTAATAAAAGTACTATAAAAAATGACGTAACGTGCCTCAATGTACTAAGAGCTCAATTTGAGGATTCTGCACTCATAAAATTAGTGGCGGCAAATGAAAACAACACGTAGAAGGAGGGATAGACCATCTGGTCAATAGTTTTATTTTTATTTTTTTTATTTTTAGGACCACCTTCAGTTGGGTGATTACCATTTTTATTAATTAAGTTATTAAGATTGGATTTTAAATTGTTAAATTAGGTTTTTTTTTGTATTTACAAAAGTTTTCATTGCTGTTGTTAATTTTATTATTTTACTTGGCCTGATGAAGTTCTTATAAAAGACCGAAACCAGTTGCGCAAAAGTGAAAAATAAAGGAATATATAGGAAGACAACCTCTTTTTTTGTTAAATTAAATTTCAATCCTGTAACAACAAGCCACAATTAAAGAATATTAATAAATGTATTAAAAGAATTATGTTTATTATTTATAGTAATATATTTCGAAGTGGAAGGATTTGGTATGACGGGACTTTGTGAAAAAGACGAAACAGGTTTGGCTTTCAATGGCCATCGAACGCCATTGAGAGCGATACACCTTTGGTCTAAGTTTCAAGGGTACAATAAGGGAAGAGTTTCATAACGGAAGGACACTCCACCTCCCAACTGGAGTGCTATCGAGCTAAACGACATTCACGACGAAAGAGGTGCGATATCTACCGGTCGTCAGATGGGAGAAATAGAAAGAAATCCTCACAGCAATAATTGTATTAATGATTCTTCATTCCTATAAGTCTTAAGAAGAATGTTTAAAGTAGTTAGGACATTTTATTATTAGTTGAATTCCATGACAAACAATTAAAAATAATAATTATAAAGAACAATAACAAATATATATCGATTCTATACCATCGATGTTTTTAAACTACGATTTATTTCTTGATTCTAACATATACATACTATATTCTTACAAGTATTTCTAAAATAACAATATTTTAAAAAATAGTTGAAGGAAGCTAGTCGACTATTCTACATATTATGGGTGATAAATATTCAGGACGCAGTCATTCAAAAATTTTATATTTGTGCCGACGTTTCAACCCAAACCATGGGTCATCATCAGGGAGTACTTGAATTACTCTTAAGGGAGTAGTTGAAAGCCTTCAGTACTCGAACCATGCCCTGATTAGTGTTGCCCAAATGCGAGACCGAGACGAGTCTTGGTCTTGCAAACTCAGACTAGGTCATGGTCTTGGTCTTGCGCAAGAGTATCGCAACAGTCTTGCAGTTACATATCAGCAAAGTTACAATGATAAGCATACTAGCTTATCACTATAGAGACATTACTTTATTAGTACAGACCCATTTTTATCAAATTATTAATATCCGCCTGAAACTTTTTAAATAGCTTCATCTCATCGTAACCAACAACTATGTTATTTACGAAAATTCTCGGAATTGGGGCGTTCTCAATCTGGACATCGGCAAACTTTGTCTATTTAATTAGGTACTAAAAACTAGTAAATAACCATTTGCTTTCCGCTTGAATCGTAAGACAATTTGAGCATAAAATCGAGAAAAAATATGGCCTTCAAAAATATTTATCCGTTTGGCGTGACCTAAACCCCCCAAAATAACGACATTGCATAGGCCAAACGTGCAAATATTTCTGTAGGCCACATTTTTTCTCGATTTTGTTATCAAATTATCTTACGATCCAAGAAATGCTAAGAAATGAAAACAAATTGGTATTTACGAGTTTTTAGTATCTAATTAAATAGACAATGTTTGCCGACCTCCGGATTGGAAACGTCCCAATTCAAAGAATTTTCGTAAATAAAATAGTTGCAGGTTACGATGAGATGAAGCTATTCACGAAGTTTCAGGAGGATATTAGTAATTTGATCAAAAAGAGGTGTGTACCACGGACCACTATTCGATATTGAGATCTATTATTAATTATTCAACTTGAACTGGTTACTAAAATTTGTTTTTGTCTTTTGGTAAAATGTAACATGAAAAGGAAGTGTATGTTTTTTCGGCGGCACATTTATACATTGGTGAGTATTCAAATGATAAACCTTTCATCTATTTCGAATGTAAGATACCGCTAATGATTAACGCTGTATTTTGGCAGATTGGTACAGAGTATCTTTTAAGATTGATGAGGTGACTATAACCAATCTTACAAGCCAAAAAAGCTAAGAAACAATATTCTCAAGAACATCTTTCTTTTAAATAATAAGACATTGTTTATCTATGTCATCAGTGATCATTAATCATTAGTGAATCCAAATTTATCAAGAAAATGATTTTGGGATATACAAAAAAAATAATGAATCATGAAAGACATTAAAAATAAAAAACGAATGGCCATTTTTCGATGAAGAAAGAGGAAGAAACAGGCTTATACTGGTGGTTGGAGAGTTTCGGGACTGAACGCCAACTGCTCCAAAAGGTAAATTGACCACGTGATCATGGACTGACAGCACCCGTAGAGCAACTCAGCAAATCACGAACCAAGTGGATCCTTAATCTTTAGTAGTTTTTAAGCAGAAAAACTAAAAGATGAAAAAATAAAATACCAGAGACATTTGACGAAAGTTACCGTTTATTTTGAGGTAGAGGTTGAGAGTCTTTGAGCCAGGTGATAGAGGCTGGAGGAGTAGACTCGATATAGCAGGTCAGCCGCGCGACGTCGCCTTCACTCACTTCAGCAGACTCAGGCGAAGTTCGGAACTCGTGGGATAACACTGAAAACAAAAAGAGAAATCAATTATTCCATAGTTGACGAAACCTGTCGTAACATATTACAATTGACAATATTTTCATTTTATCAAGATTTAATTATCTTCTATAGTTTTGTTTCGTATTTGAAGGTTCGAATCAGCTGAACAATATCGCACGTGATAACTATTTCACAAGATGGCGATATTAGTGACGAAGGCAAGGGGAAATCAGACTTCACCATTACAAATGCAATACTACTACTTCCAGGACCTACTGATCATTTCGAAACATGGAGCGTCATGGTTTCCACAAAAGCGGGACGATCTCATGACGCCGTAATGAAGCATTTCCTTATTTACCTATCACGCTCTTCGGACTTCGATTGAAATGTTATTGAAAATACAGAAGAAATCACTTTTGGATAATTCCTACGACTGCTGAGCCAACTGCAAAGTACACCGAACACGATCAAATTGATGCCCAATCTTACTGGGCAATTTACCTTGATGTGCAACAAACCTCAATTCAGAAAAGTATAAACAAGTATTCGTTCAGCATTTTGGAGAGCAATTGGAGTTCTCGACACCAGAACTTTATCAGCGGCTCTGATTTCGTGCACTTGGATCTGCCATCGAGAGTTTTTTCTAAAGCTTGGGCAATAAGTTGCCCAACAACCACACTTTTCGCCAAATAAACTTCTAGCAAACATTGAAGATAAGACTGATAAATGATAAATTATCATTGCATTTTAATAAAATAATTAAAATTCTTAAGACACTGACGAGTATAATGACACGCCTCAATCTTGTCATTGGAGCCATGTGTTCACAGACGTGTGAAATAAGTTGCCCAACAACCACACTTTTCGCCAAATAAACTTCTAGCAAACATTGAAGATAAGACTGATAAATGATAAATTATCATTGCATTTTAATAAAATAATTAAAATTCTTAAGACACTGACGAGTATAATGACACACCTCAATCTTGTCATTGGAGCCATGTGTTCACAGACGTGTGAAATAGGTTTGTATGACATATTTATGTTTTTTCTTTCTTTCTTTTTTGTTAATAACATGTTTATTGAGAAATATTACAATCTGTCTCAGAGGACATATATAATAGAGTTCAGAGACCAAATTGACACTCCATGCACAATAAAAATAAATAAATAAATAAACAGCAATCAATATATATATATACAATAAATACGAATTAAAATAACTTTAAGATAAATAACATTTAAAAAAATGCCTATAAACGATATTTACAAACAGGAAGGAAACCCCAAGCCAGGCTTGTCCCTTTAACTATAGAGGAAAGGAAGACTTCAGGAGATCCCTGTGCTACTCTCTCAACAGCGGCACTGGTGCTAAAGCCAGAGGAGTTTGAACATATACTTCAATTTTTTAATATAGATTTCTGCTGCCCTATTTTATGGAATTGTACGTTAACTGTTATCAATAATAGTTTTAAAAGTCAATTTAAGAACACAGCATTATCGGTAAGAGAATTTTATCAGAATAAGATTATTTATATTCTGTTTTATCAATGGCGGATTTTAAGTTATTTTTTTAAGTTATCATGAAATATTCATTTTCGTCCATCACAATTTAATTTTATAATATACACATACTTTGTCCGGGAGATGCTTTATACTTACAATTAGTTTCATTTTCAAAATATTAACTTAGTATTTTCATATTTGTTTATTTTTTAACTGATGAGTATTTCTATATATTATTTCTCATAGCTTGTGTTACTTTGTCGGTACACCATATCTACGTTAATCCTTCATCAAACGATACAACGATTGAGGCATCGATTTGAAGGCTATCTTCTTGTTTAAGAGCGAAAAATAAGACAAAAAATCAGGGAAGAAGGTTATGAAAGAACCTTTACTTGCGCCTAACTCAAAATCTATGGTCGTTTATATACGCGATAGTCGTCAAAGGTTTCAAAATTCTTTACAAAAATGAAAAAAAAAAAAAAAATTAGACTATTTTTAGCAAATATACGGACAATTATAAATTTAAATAAGTTTTGATAAACTACTTTGAATGAAAATTGATTCCCTTCCACTCGTAATACATTGCATTTATTTATTAATACTTTATATTGTCACAGACCATAATACTATGCGTATTATTGACCAGTGCCAACAAATATATACATACAACAGGTATATATATATATATATATATATATATATATATATATATATATATATATATTTGTGCACCTGTGAAAAGCGTGTTAAGTGCAATATTGTGAATTTTCATGGGGATCATTACAAAACTCTCTCATTGTGTCTAATTGACTAAGGTATGCATTACATAAATGAACATTCCTTTGATTGATGAATTATGGACGGAAACTCGAGAATTGAACTTGCACCTGTGAAAATACCAAACCTTCAACAGCGTTTTTCCATATGATTTTCGTAGCTTCTTTTCTAACCAGTAGCTAACCAGTTCCTCTTCTAACCAAGTTTGACAGACGCCCAATTAGTCCCATAAATATGTTGCTCCAGATATCACTTTTATATGTAATAAAAACTTTAAATAATGACAAAGGACCATACGAGGTTTTAGCTATTAATTGCTTATAAAAGATAAGAATAAAGTTCTGAAGATGGAAATGGTAACCCAAAACATAAACTTGGAATGGATTATAGCAAATAAACAATTTTTATTCATTAATTGAAAATTTTTATTGCCAATGACATAATGATTATTGTACTTAACACAATATGCACAGGTGCGACAGATATAATTTAATATATATAATTAATTATTGTTATGGTTAGAATAAAGAAATGGAAAATAAATTGTTTCCATTAATCATCAGTGGAATTTCCATAGAAACCAACTGAAAATAATTTTAATTTGCTATCAGCATGGCACACCCAAAACAAGAACGAAGATTACTGAATTTTATAATAATAGTTGCTGGTTTACATTTATTGTTAAAATTTTCATCTTTGTAGAAGTTACATATCTTGTAGATCTTTGGTCACCTTAATCAGCATTATACATCTCTGCCAATCTAGGAGCATTTCTATCCAGTTATCTGCATGCAGTTCTATTGCATTCTATCTTTTTTGATTCTATCCATCCACCTGACTTTTGACCTTCCATTGAGATATTCATTGTTACATGCCACACCCATCTTAATCTCCTTGCCTTCATATCAGATGATATTAATAGACCAGTTTCTATAAGCAGCTCTTTATTATTCTTTCTCCTCCGTGTGTTAGTATGCTCATCCCATATCGTTCAATATTTCTACAGTGTATATGCAAGAAGTATTTTTTTGCGAGATAGGTCAGGGTCCAGATCCCGCAGCCATAAATGAGAACTGGATTTATCGTATCATTGCACATCCTTATGTTGAGATCATGAATAATATATAGTTAACTAGTATATTATAAATACTTATTTTAAAAGGTTTATAATAAATTTTTATATGTGGTTGTTTCAGGCCAGAAACCTTTTGGAGCATGAATATGAAGGTTAAAATACGTCGGATCGTCACGAAAACTAAATTTAAGACGCCGAGGTATCAACTTGTAGCCTTACGCGGCTTGCCAGTTCTCCACCGCTTTTATACACCACGCTATAAAAAGAAAAATATCAAGTAATAAGGAAAATGTGATAATGATGTCCATAATACCTCAAATTTTCAAATGAATTAACCGTTAGAAACATACAATATTCTTTTTCTTTTATCAGTTAGTTATTCGTTATGGTCAATGCTGTCAGTTGCATTCATCAATCTATCCATAGTTGTTATCATTCTTATTCATTTATAAATTATATTTATACATTATACACTGCGTGCCAGATGGAAAATCAGAGATTAACTCGGTAAGCAGGAATAAAAATAGAACTCTCGATTAACGGCTGTTGACATGAAATCAATACAGAACAAAAATGATTATATAGAAGGAGTGACAACTAAATCAGCTCGTTTTGGATAGGATTTATTTTTCAGCTTATGGTGCATTATACACCTAAATTTACTATGCCCGGTTGATCTTATAATAATGACAGTTGCAATTTTTTTATTTTTTATTTTTTTTGAAGGTTCAAATTTTCATCACCTGAAATAACTAACTAATAAGAAAGCGCAAGAGTGTCTTGTATAATAAAGGAAAATGCATAAGAATTAAAATTTCACAAACTCATTTCATTTTTTTTTAAAAGAAAGCTTATTCAAAAATAGTAAAAACTAAATCAAACCTCAAAATACTTAATAAAAAATAATAAATTGATTTCGATAATTTTTATCAACTTTCATAAAATAGAATTAGCGCTCGCTTAATTTCAGTAATCCTAATATTACACTTATAGATAAATTAAAAATCAAAACAAAATAAAGTTTAGCTGAGACAAATGTTCCTTATTCTTTACATATGTTAGTGAAATTACGATCATATTCATTCAACAATTACATTGATCAATATGTTTCTTTAATATTGTACAGTCATTAGAAAATGTAAATAAAAAGTGTAAAAGCTTAGTGGACATAAAAATTTACAGAAAAATGTAATTTAATTCACTTGGCACCATTACATATGAATTTGGCAAGGGAGCAAAATTTATAAAAGAAGTGTTTATACAAAATAATAAAATTTACAGATTCTAACATCGATTTAAAAACCAGACATTTAAACTCCGAGTCTCACGAAACATAAAGGTAAAAATCTTTAATATTCAGTAGAAAATATAGAAGCCACCAGTCTCTCGCACAATATCAAAATAGGTTAACTAAGTTGTTTAGTAATTAGAATAAAATAACCTTATTCGATTTAGAGGCTCTTAGAAGAGCTAATCAATGCAAATATTAATTATTCTGATAATAATGTAATTGAAATTTACTTAGACATCTTTGTTTTCTGTTCCAAAACATAAAGTACTATTTTGGGTGTTGGTTACTAACTCTGGAATAAAACACAATAAAAGACAAGGCAATCGGTAATAATGAGATAGCCCAGCAGTGGATGAAAAAAAATTGTTCCTGGAAATGTTTTCGGAGCTAAACACACTTTTTTTTACCCAACTTTACACAACCTGATTGACAGTAGTTATTAAGTACTTTAAGCATTCTTACACTGCCGGGCCTTAAGTCCTTGAAGAGCTAACATCTTCTTCCACTCACCCCAGTAAGTTGCGAAGCGCCTCTACCGCTTTATATCCATCTCTTTCAGGTTGCTTTCCACATCATTCAACCATCACAACAAGGTTTTCCCCGCCTTTTTCCATTCCCCGACTTCCACAGAACAGTTTTCTTGGCATTCTTGTAGGGCGCATCCTCTTCAAATGCCCTGAATAGCATGACAACT